TTTCTTGGCAAGATAACAGGAAAGTTCCCAGCCTTCAGGATGTGACTCTGGTACAGTTCAGACTGTAACATGTTCAGCTGAAAAATGCAGGTTGGCACAGGGTCTTGTTTTCCTTGGTATACTAATGCTGCTCCTTCCTTATCTCTCCTTCCTACTTCATAAGGTCACCTGTTGATAAGAATAGGAGTGGGCAACATTTTCCAAAGAACTTTAGGTTTGATAAATGGAGATCAGCTGACATGTTGGAGCTCGCAAGAGTTCTAAGGCAAGGTTTTATCAAGGTCTCCTAGAGAAGGGAGGTTAGGATGCAAAGGTCCATGGGAAATCCATGGAGAATTGCTAGAGGGAGACACAAAGCTTTCTCTCCAAATATTGAAAGCTTCCTCTGCAACATGTATACCACTCTGAGCGTCATTTTCACCCAACAACTTGCAGCTAAAACTTGAGAGGCATGTTCATTGGGGCTGCGGCTGCACAAAGCTTTGCAGAGAGATTTTGTTCCAACAAAACTTCATGCAAAAACATTTGAAATACTGCAGACCTCTCCCTGTAAACCAAATTACCAACAGCTGCTTTGCTTCTGCTTGTTCTACAGTTCTCCTCCTGCAATGATATCTTTAGGGGAGGCTTCTATATGTGTGGAGAACATGAAAGAACTCCAAAAGGGTGGGCTTCTCAGTTGCCCTCCACCCATCCTTGGGTCAGAGAAAAACCACACCAATATGACCACATAGGCAGAAAGCATGAAAAGAAAATAACTGCAGATAGAATGGAATTCTTTATTCGCCAAGTGTGATTGGACACACAAGGAATTTATCTTTGGTGCATATGCTCTCAGTGTACGTAAAAGAAAACATACGTTCATCAAGAATCATAAGGTCCAACACTTAGTAATAGTCATAGGTTACTAATAAGCAATCAAATCATACTAGGAAACAAATAAAACAATATAAATTGTAAAGATACAAGCAACACGGTTATAGTCATAAGTAGGGAGAGAGAGGTACTAGGAAGTGTTATTATAATATAGGAATAGAAGAATAATAGTAATAGAGCAGAGGTGGTATTCAGCAAGTTCTGACCAGTTCTGCAGAACTGATAGCAGAAATTTTGAGTAGTTTGGAGAACCAGCAAATACCGCCTCTGACTGGCCCCGCCCCCATCTATTCTCTGCCTCCTGAGTCCCAGCTGATTGGTTGGGTCTCCTTTTGTTGCCCTGCACAGGAGAACGGAGCTGGAAAGCAGGTTAGTGGGGTGGGGTGGGAATGGAATCCTTCCCCAGCCATGGCCACCAAGCCGCAGCCACCAAGCCATGCCCAAAGAACTGGTAGTAAAAAAAATTGAATCCACCACTGTAATACAGTCTTAGTAAATAAGTTGACAGTGTTGTGGGGACTATTCTATTCTATCGACTTGTATTTTGCATCCAAAGCGATAACTCTGCTGTGGACACATAAGCGCTTCAGTGCCCTTAAACATATAAAGAAAAACTCAGTTAAGAAACACCAGTTAACTTGGACTCCATTTCTTGTTTCAGAAGCCTTGTTTCTTTGTGGGATGGAGTTCTCAAGCTGACATAAAATTACGAATCTTAAAATATCCGTGACTTGAAAATTAGTTTTACTGTATAATGATTGGTTTTCTAATGATTGGTTCTACTGTTGTGAACTAGCCAGTGTTTCTTAAGATGGGCAGCCATATAAATCTTTTAAGTAAATTCATTAAATAAATAATATTGAGTGGTCCTTGGTGCTCTCTGGGTTTTCTTGTTTTCTTGCAGATTTCTTCATTACTCTAACTAGGTAGCATCATCAGTGATGTTACTCAGTTTGGGTAATGAAACTTCTGCAAGAAAACAACTAAGCTCAGAGAGCACCAAGGACCGCTCATTTCAACCCTGAGCTACAAATATTCTCCTTTACAAATAATATTGGCTATCATAGTTCCATCTATTGTGCCTCTATTGCTTCTGTTCCATTACCGCAGCCATATGGCTTTCTGCAAAGGAGGTGGATACCAAATCAAATGTGATATACTTTGAAGTTAATGTGGGATGTAATGAGAGGAGACTACTGTTTGTACACCACTACCGTTAAAGATAGCTAAAGGCCATCTTGCTCATGATCTGGATGTGTATGACCCGGGGCATGTCACAAAGGCAAAACAGTCAGATAATCTTTATTAGCTCCAACTTTGTCCCCAATGTCCTGGTTATCTTCTGAAAAACTCTCCTAGGAGTTTGCCTTTGGCTGCAGAGAATCAAGTCCAAAACGTGGTCAACAAAAACTGTAACTATACGTCCAATCAAGGCAAAATGAGGTAATGAGTCTGGCAGGGCAAGAGAAGGAATTCCAGACATGAAGGCATGGCAATAATTCAACACAGTTGGGAAGACATCAGGAACACAGATAACCAAAGTCAACACAAGATAAACTCACGTTTGCTCCCAGCAGCTGCTGCACTCAGCATGCATCTCTTTTAAATTTTCTTCCCAGCTGTGGCTAATGAAGGGAATCAGGGCCCTTTCCTCCCCCATAAGCCATGCAACCCATGTTGCTCTCTTCTCCATTCCTCCCTGCATGCCCTAGGATGAAGAGGGGATGGGCCCGGATCTTCCTCTGAACTCCCTCTCCCTTGTTTTACCTCTCCCTGCTCTGCCCAGCTGGACTTTGCCCTTCCCCAGTTTCCTCCACAGCCAACCCTGTCTGCTGTTTGTCTTCTGCCTTGGATTCAGACTCCAACAGGGGCATGACAGGATGAGGTGAAGACAATACCTTGAGGACATGGAAGAAGATAAAAAATGTGGCATGTTTATAACATCCTTCATTTCTGCAATGGACTCAGAAATATAAATAAATCTCTCAAGACAGCAGGCGTGGAACTATGATCCAAGCTGTGCCCCTTTTGTACAGGGCAGGGCTTCTGTCAAAATCCTGCAACTTACAAATTGTGACATGGTCACATCCCACGCACGCTGTAGAAGCTGTGGCTCTATAAAATTGGTATGAAAGGGGGAATTTGTATTTAATATGATGTGTTTTGACAGCAGCAAGGATTGTATTTGCACAGTATTGATAAAATGAGGAAACTCGGGGAGAAAAAGATGTAATTAAAAAAATATTAGACTGTCCAGAAATGGACAGACTGACATTAAAGAGAAAAAAAGAAGATACAGAGTATTTTTGAGCATGTGATTTATTTTATAAATAGTTGGATAATAGAGATAGAAATTAAGAGTGGGGAAAGTACTATTATGTAAGCAAATTGACCCAGACAACACACTGTTCACAAAGCACTTAATGTATATTAAATGAAATGTATAAGCAAACTGTTTTTAAAAAAGTGAACAGCTCAAAGAGTATGTCTCGTTTTATGTCATAAAATGTTTCATTTTTAAAAATACATAACTTCCTTGCAAAGATGTAGATTTTATTTAACTAAATGGGAAGTGAAGACATATAGCCCAATTGCGTGTGATCCTTGCAACAGATGTCAAATTGTGTGTAATTACTGGACTTGATAACATCTGTTGACCAGCTTTGTTTCTGCTTGTGGTTTGGGTTATTGCAATGGTTACGCAAGACCTTTTCTGGAATAGTCTTATGTCAAAGACTGCAAATGCTTCATTATATTATCATTGGAAAGAATGTTATTGGTTTCCTAAAGGGCCTTCCATGCTAGATGTTTTCTTTAGGATGGCCCTTGTAGGTATGGGAATGTCAAAATGACATCTTCATCATCCTTGTCTGATGACAAGAAGGACTAGGGGTGACATGACAGTAGTCTTCCAATATCTCAGGGGCTGCCCCAAAGAAGAGGGAGTCAAGCTATTCTCCAAAGCACCTGAGGATAGGAAGCAATGAATGGAAACTAATCAAGGAGAGAAGCAACTTAGAACTAAGGAGAAATTTCAGTTAGAACAATGAATCAGTGGAACCACTTGCCTCCAGAAGTTGTGAACGCTCCAACACTGGAAGTTTTTAAAAAGATGGATAACTATTTATCTGAAGTGGTGTAGAGTTTCCTGCCTAAGCAGGGGGTTGGACTAGAAGATCTCCAACTCGGTTATTCTATTATTCTATCACATTATATAAAAGGTTTTCAAATGGATTTTTTTTTAAAGGCTCTGGGCTAAATGCCTTAGTTTTTCAAAGCATCATTTCATTTATAAAGTAATTACTTTATTGGGAGCTATTACCTTCAGAGGCTGTTTCTAGGCTGCAAACAGAGACTTTACTGGCCAATATAGAAGGAATGGGGTGAGGGGGGAATACTAATATCAAATTCTATTTTTTTTTTATGTCTCATTTTATAAATCTTTCATTTTGGATGCCTACTTCACCTAGATTGCATTTGGACGATCGTTTTGTCTAATGTACACAGTATTCCCCTTCATAAAATGCATATTTTGCATGCGTAGAGGCAGTTTAGGAGAGAATTTTCTATAATATTCTTTTTTTGGGTGGGGAGAAGAGTTCCACTGCACTATTTGGAAAAGCGCTAACGTTAAGTGACAGAGAAGTTTTGGTTTGGACATTGGTTTGAAAGTGTAAAATTTGATAGGTCTTGTTTATTTAGTTGATTTACCTACTAACTTTTTTTGTTTTTAAAGTACAAGGTGTTCTTTCACCCTCTTCACCTTCAAGTTCACAGATGCCTACCTGTGTTTGGTACAGAAGGAGATATTGCAAATGGGGCATTCCAAGGTGGCTTTTCATCTGGATGGCTGGGGGTGTGTTTTTGTGTGGGTCTTCTGTCCTTTCATACAGGGCTGTCTCCTCTTGGTGTGTGACTTCAGAAACACGCAAGTGAGACCTGACTGTGTGTTGTGCATGGAACCACCCCTCATTCTCAGGGGAGGTTGGCAGCCACAAGAATTTATAAAAGGGAGTTGCCTTGGGGGGGGTCATCCGTTTACTCAGTTGCAGGGTCTGGCATCTCCTGCAGCCTTCAGCACTAAGTTCCCCTTAAGCCCGTCTTGTTGACCTCAAGGACTCACCATGGGGAAGGCGGTAAGGAAGGTTCTGTTTTCATTTGGGCACCGGGTTCAGACCTCACTCAAAATCCCCCCTTTTACTAGTAAATGAATCATTTAGCCATAGAATGTATTTCATTCCGAATTTTATTGTATTTTATTTTTTAAAAAGCTGATTTTGATAGCTCTAATTTCCATGGCTCTGGAGATATTGTTTTTCCCTTAACCTGTCAGTAAATCTAGGGAGGCAAGTGTTTTTTTAAAAGCGGGGTTGGAGGTTGTGCGTGGCACATCAATGAACTGTTCACTCTGCCTGTGAATGGGGTTAGCATGGGATAAACCCTAGAAGACAGCTGGCCTGGATATCCCAACAAAGCTAGATTTTGTGGAGTTGATATTTGCAGGGTCTATAGCCTTAGGCTGCATTAGCAGAGAGACAGAACATACACCTGGAATACTGCATCCTGTTTTGGTCACCATGATATAAAAAAGATATTGAGACTCTAGAAAGAGTCTAGAAGAGTAATAGAGTTGATTAGGGGATTGGAGGCTAAAATATATGAAGAATGGTTGCAGAAACTGGGCGTGGCTAGTCTAGTGAAGAGAAGGAGCAGGGGAGACATGATAGGAGTGTCCCAATATTTGAGGGGCTGCCACAAAGAAGGGGGAGTCGAGCTATTCTCCAAAGCACCTGAAGGCAGGACAAGAAGCAATGGGTAGAAACTAATCGAGAGAAGCAGCCTAGAACTAAGGAGAAATTTCTGACAGAACACTTAATCAGTGGAAGTTGTGGGTGCTCTAACAGTGGAGGTTTTAAGAACAGATTAGATAACTGTTTATCAGTTTCCTGTCAGTGGAACAACTTGTTTCCATATGTTACAGTTGGAGGTTTTTAAGAAGAGATTTGGTAACCATTTCTGAAATGGTATAGGGTTTCTTGACTGAGTAAGGGGTTGGTCTAGAAGACCTCCAAGGTCCCTTCGAACTCTGTTATTCTGTTAAACAAAAATGGCTGCACTCTTACCGAAAAGCAAAGAGCATTTGGGAAATTTTGGGTTTTTTTTCCTGATCTATTACTGGGACTGTATTATCAACGCTATTTAATAGAGAGGAACAATTATTTCCTCCAACCAACGTTTCAGTCAAGTGAGAAGTAGACAGACATTACAGAACTGACAAAAGCAATAAATAGCCATGGTTTATTCAAACATTTCTCTGCCAATAAAGGAGAACGTTTGTAACTCAGGGTTGAAATGAGGAGACCTTGATTCTTTCTGAGCTTCGTTATTTTTTTGCAAATGTTTCATTACCCAAAGTAGGTAACATCTAGCTGGCTAATAAAATGTCTGCAAGAAAACAACAAAGCTCAAGGTGTACCAAGGACTTTTCTGCATGTGGATGCCAGATTTGATGTGTTCTAAGTGACTTTACAGCTGAATTCAGATCGGGGCTACCATCATCATTCTTGCAATCTTCCAAAGGCGAATCAGTTAATTAATCAGTCGTTCATTAAATTGATAGGAATTCTTTGGTTACTCTTTTTGTTTCTTACATCTTTCTTAAAATGAAGCTAAACACCCATATAATATTTGATTCCTCCCCCCCACTCACCCCCCAAAAAATCCTGTTCTGTTTTTTATACCGTTCTAAATTATGGCATAGTTCATACGCAAAAAAATGAAAGTGCAGACGGTTTTTATTGCTGTTTATTTACGATGGCTGTGGCCTGGCTGTCCAACAGACTCTACCCGAAGCCATTTCATGATGAGAAGGATAAGAGCAAGGTTGTTGATGGGATGTTATATTGCAATCTATCCCTACAAAGTTAAAGCTGACTCTGCCCGTGGGCAAAAATGAAGTCGCTTCTTTGAGCAACGGATCAAGATACCAGTCATCATCTTTCAGCCTGAACAGCTGCTTCACTCTAGGGTTCTCCAGAGTGAAGTGCCAACTTAATTATTTGCTGTGAAAGCTTTCATCCAAAATCTTGAGTCTTTTTTCCCCGCTTCCGTTCAATCATGTCTGATTCACAGATATTCCTGTAGTTTCTGCTGGTAATATTTCAGAAGTGGTTTGCCATTGCCTCCTTCCTAAGGCTGAGAGAAAGCAACTGGTCCAAGATTACTCAGCTGACTTTGCACTTAAGATGAGACTAAAACCCACAGTCTCATGGTTTCTAGCCTGGCAGATAGATCAACATCCCAGCGGCTCACAAAATCTGGCTTAGGATAGCATTTATAATCTGGGTGTATGGTTTAGCCAGGATGTGGATGGTTGCCCCGCTATTGCTGGGGTAGAGAAGCATAGTAAAGAGTGTGCAGGGGAGGAAATGGCAAATCAGATGTCCCACTCATGTGACAGTTCTCATCGGTACCTTTACCTGTGGGTTGAAATCATCAAGAGATGAATGTGTAAATTTAAATCAAGATGTGTATTGATTTGAGTGTGTATGTGTGAATATGTGCAGAGGAGAGAAGAGCAGAGAGGTAAGGAAAAGAAACCAACACATAGAAGATAAAGCTGATGTTCTAGTTTTATATTGATATTGTCGTTTGATTTTTCTGTGATGTGCTACCCAGAATCCATTAGGGTTATAAATGTTGCTAGACATTCAATCTGCAGAAGGAACAGACAGAATGTTCTTCTCCCATCTCTGACAGAAGGCACGTTCTGCGCTGATTCCAAGACTGCTGGACTAAAATACACACACACACACACACACACACACACACACACACACACACTTGGAGAGAGGGGGAAAGAAAGAGAGAGAGAGAAACAGAAAGGAGGAGAGGGCAGACAGGCCTGGCTCCAGTCATTCCATTTGGCATAGCAAGAGAGCTGCCTTTGATTCCCAGATCTTGGGAGAACAGCAAACAGTTTCATATTTACTTTAGTATTAGCTGGTCATTCTGGACAAAGAAGGGAGAAGCGTTTGGGGGATTTTCTACTCTGATTTCCTGGCATGTCATATATACTGAATGGAATGTTTCACCTCGTTGACCTCTGTCAAGAGACAACAGAATGTTTTGTTTCAAGGAGGGAAAAGCAGGCTACTTAACAATGTTTGCTGCCTTCTTTCTCTCCTCTTTGAGCCTTGTCCCCAGTGCCAAGAGAGCAGAGTTGCTGATAAGGCTACAACCTTCAGACAAGTGCAGAAGGAGACGTGTGTTTTGAACATTGCAGCCAAAAGCAAAGAAAACAAAAGAAGTTCTTTCTCCTTCAGAAGAACCGGAGGGTCCAAAAGAGAGGAAAATAAATAAGAGCAGGCCAGCAAGACAAAGCACAGTGTAAGAAAGATGCAAGGAGCTGACCCTTAATAGAAAGAGAACAAATCACAGAGAGAGGAGATTTAAGACAGAACAGGTTTAAAAGAAATATTGGCGCATGGCAGGGGTCTTCAAACTAGACAGCTTTAAGACTTGTGGACTTCAACTCCCAGAATTCCTCCTCCGGCCATGTTAGCTCAGGAATTCTGGGAGTTGAAGGCCACAAGTCTTAAACTTGCCAAGTTTGAAGACCCTTGGTATATGGCATTGTATGTGGGCAATTGTAACAGAGTGATCGTAATAGCAATAATATACCGGTAGTATTGAATAGTACTAGTATATAAACTTAATTTCAGTAGGTGATGAAAAATAACATATGTTGTCTTAGTAATTATCATAGTAGTGTAGGTATAGAATAGTAGGTATAGAAATAGCAATAGAACAGAATATGGGAAGAACTCAAATATCACTTTTATATGTTTTTACAAAGCAAAAACATTTCCCCAACCCTTATAGGGAGATGTATAACAGAATAAGAGAGATGGAAGGGACCTTGGAGGTCTTCTAGTCCAACCACCTGATAAGGCAGGAAACGCTATACCATTTCAGACAAAGAGTTGTCCAATCTCTTCTTAAAACTGTGTTGGAACGTTCTCAACTTCTGGAGGCAAGTTGTTCCACTGATTAATTGTCCTCATTGTCAGAAAATTTCTCCTTAGTTCTAGGCTGCTTCTCTCCTTGATTGGTTTCCATTCATGGCTTCTTGTCTTGCTCTCAGGGGCTTTGGAGAATAGCTTGACTCCCTCTTCTTTGGGGCAGCCCCTGAGATATTGGAACACTGCTATCATGCCCCCCCCCTCTTTCTTTTCATTAGACCAGACATACCCAGTTCCAGCAACCGTTCTTTATATGTTTTAGCCTCATGTAAAAAGGTTTCAGTCCCGGGTTCGTGATCTTAACTCTGGGTAAAACAAATGGAATACAGTTTTAAAAAGAAACATTCCGTGACAATGTCCTAGGGCTTAAAATTAAACTAATATGTATAGAGGGTGACTCCTTATTTATCCAGTGGTGAAAGGAAACCGAGCATTAAATTTCACCTAGTCATTGACAATCCATTTTTTCAGTGAGCAAAACCACAGAAGGGCAAGGCAGGTGAATGCCTGGTCTCTAGAAACCACCTGGGTATCAACTTTGCAAAAGAAGAGTAGCATGTGGCTACAGCATTGTTCATTCATGCGTTCTACCAAGTTTCAAGCTTATTGCGACGAGCTTTGCATCAGCTTTGTGGGAATGGCTTTTCTAACTTACAGCTTGCCCTGGACAAAGCTGTAAATCTTTTTGTGAGGGAGATTCAGACTCAATACTGTATAAATAAACAGCTTCTAGGCAATGGTGGGATTCAAAAAAATTTTTTACTACTGGTTCTGTGGGCTTGGCTTGGTGGGCGTGGCAGGAGAAGGATACTGCCAAATCTCCATTCCCTCCCCACTCCTGGGGGAAGGTTGCTGCAAAATCCTCATTCCCTCCCCACCCACTAACCTGCTTTCCAGCTCCCTTCTCCTGTGCAGGGCAACAAAAGAAGACCCAGCCAATCAGCTGGGACTCAATGGGAGGCAAAGAATAGCTGGGGGTGGGACCAGTCAGAGGTGGGATTTGCCGGTTCTCCGATCTACTCAAAATTTCTGCTACCAGTTCTGCAGAAGTGGTCAGAACCTGCTGAATACCACCACTATCTCCTTCTCACTTCCTTCTCTGGCACTCATAGAATTATAGAGTTGCATTTGAAAGTTGTAACAGTATTCCCAAGAGTTGGGTTTTCTCCCTCAAGGTCTCCTGTGGTAGGTGTTCAGCCTGGCACATCTAAGGGGATGCAGAGGGGCAATTGCAGTGAGGCTTTGCTTATGCTTACAGTAAGAGCATGTTGCAGGATTGGGCTTCAGCACAAGTCCAAAAGCTCAGAAGACAAAAATCTCTGGTCCAGTTGACCGACCCAGATTGGATCCTGCAACATTATCCTGGGATACATATATTCGTTTATAAGTGCCTATTTTATCAAATTGCTATTATCAAATTCATTATCGTAAGTAATTTCAAATGGAGCATGAGTAGAAAAGGCCTACTAGGACAGAAATATAAGTCACTTGAAAACAAAAATAAATAATAAAATAAACAAAGAAAACCTCCAAAGGGAACTGATTCGACTCCCATATCATCTAAACTGCGTTGGCGTCAGTCGTGTGACAAACCTGTTACCAGAAAGTCTCAAAATTCAGGGAATTTCCAACTGCTCTCATTTTCCATTTGGCCAAAAGGAAAAAACCCTAAATATCATTCTGTGAAGCTTCACATTTGTTTAAAAAATGGAAAACAAAAAAAATACTGTATCTGTTCTGCAGAGGTGGTGGATGACTGTGGGAGTCTCAAGTTTAGAGCCACTCCTAGTGAAGTAAAATTGCAGAGTGAAATTTTGTAAAACTCCTCTATTCTATTCCTAGAATAATTAGCTTTGTTCTAAAGCACAACTCAACAAGTGTATTTGTGTGCCCTATACAGTGGTTGTTTTCCACATTTTTTCCTACTGGTTCAATGAGAGAGCACTTTGCGCGCATGTGCAGGGCTCAGAAACTGCCCCATGTGTCAGCCCTAGTGAGGTGAGCTGTTTTTTAGCTCAGCTGACATGTGGCAATCCACTCTGCCACACGAATCAGCTGAGCTAAAAAAAAAAAAAAACAATGAAACATAGGAGAGGTAATGGCAGGGGCAGGTGGGTGGAGCCAGCCAGAGGTGGCATTTGCCGGTTCTCCGGACTACTCAAAATATCTGCTACCGGTACACCAGAACTGGTCCGAACTGGCTGAATATCACCTCTGGTAATCTACTCAGTTCTCTTAGTAAATATGACCTTAGTAAAGGTCATCTTTCAATTAAACCCATTCATTTGATGCTAAATGGTAGGTCAACATTTGAGTACAAATCAGATTGTTTTTGATAAACAATTTGATATTTGATAAAGATAATTTTATTGAAGCAAACATGTCAAGCACTGGGGTTCTAAGGCAGACCTGTGAGGTGTCAAAATAGCCAAGATGGCAGTTGCAACCAACGATCAACTTTTTTGACAATGCCACTGGGGAGATCATTCTTCACGCTTGGCCATTAGGTTTAATTTTAATCCCAGCACTTAAAATCTGTTTCTGCTTTCCAAAAGAATATCATAACACCTTAATTCATAATAATTAACAAAGCTATTTGCACTTACAAACCTCTTTCTCTTTGGCATTTTTGTCCTGCTAGGAGAAGTACGAAATGTACTCAGTGGAGATGGAGAAATACGATGGGGAAATGGATGTAAAGATTAAGAAGAAGAAAAACAAAGGGTTGAAGAAAAAAGAGAAGTTGGAGAATATGAAGAAAGAGATGGATGTGGTAAGCCATAGAACCAGAATTGAAAAACAAGATTTCTCTACTGATTTAGACATTGTCATTTCCATAGCTTGAAATAGGCAGCTTGCCCATGATTAATTTAACAGTGGATTATTGAACTACCCCAGTTTGCCTATCACACTTAAACATAAAACTAGTCACATCACACCAGGATAAACATAAATTATTTTTGCTGAAAGTTGATATACGTTATAAGACCTCAACTTGAAACCATTTGTTTAGCAAGCATTTGAAGTTGCCACAAAACTCAAAACACACCTTATGAGTTATCCTCATACTTATGACTGTGGCATGGACACCTGATCAAAATTCAGGCACTTGGCAACCGGCATTTATTTATGACGATTGTAACATCCCAGGGTCATTTGATTGTCATTGATGACTTTCTCAGCTGGCTTCTGACAAGCGAAGTCCATGGGGGAAGCTAGATTCATGTAACATCCACGTGATTCTCTTAACAACTGCACTGATTTGTGTAACGTGGCTGTAAAATCAGACATGACTTACCTAGCTTAGCAACAACAATTCTAGGCCCAATTAAAGAGTTATAATTCGAATAAATAGAAGGAAAGGGAGTAATAAAGAGAAGTTGGGATAAGATATGAAGTTGAATAGATAAGGTAAATATATATACTAAATTGTGTTTATATGGAAATGTGATAATTTGGAATAATTCTGTCCTTAAATAAGATGTTGTATTGGTTTTTTAGAAAAAGATTTCTTACGTTATTATATTTTATGTTTTGTTTGTTTGTATATTGTTTTGTAAAATTAATAAAATTTGCTTGGAAAAAAAAAATTCTAGGCCCAATTGTGCAATTCAATGATGCACGGTGTTTGCCACAAATGTACAGTTGTTAAGTATATCAACTTTTAGCAAAAAAGAAAAAAAAGATTTAAGTTGTGATGTGAGAGACCAGCCAAAGAGAAACCAATTCTTCATCCATAAAACATATTCATAATCTGTGAACCCAAGTTCAGCATTATGGCATTATCCTCATTCTCCTATGAACAATAAGAGATACAACTCAGTGATCTCACAGGGCTGTAATTGATTTAATGCGAGGCACTTTATCCACGTAACCCGTCTTAAGCGCTTTCAGAATTTGGAATCTGAAAGCAAACATTAAAAATAAAATAGACACTAAAGGAATTTTGCATTCAAAGCTCTACTCGGAAGAGCTGTGTACGGAATTTGGCACACAAAATTAAGGAAAGTGACAAACAGGAACAATTGCAGCAACCTTTTATGTCTTAGCCTGCAAACCATTCAAAACTAACAGAGTACACTTAATGTAATTATATTGGTCTCCAGGGAAAGAATTCTTCTCCAGAACAAAATGTAATTTTCTCTCTGAACTTCAAGGAAGGAATGTTGTTGTTTTTCCACTAATTTTTGGAGACGCAACTTCAGTACCTCTAAAAGTACTGGTCTTCAGAAAATTTCAGCAAATGATAAATAATGGTTTCAGAGCCTTGTTTATATGAACAAAAACCATATTAATTCCATCAGATCTCATTAGTCTAATCTATTACATAACTCATCATTTAATCTCTCCCCAAACTTCTCTGAATAACAGAGATTGCCTCATTTTGAGGGCATCTGAAATTAATCATTTTGTTTCCTAAACATTTTGGTATGCAAACACGGAACCGCAAATTCTGTTTAATACTGGGTGTGTACATATACCAGCTAAATTGCTTTTTTTTCTCCATCTGTAATACCGTATATTATTTGCTTCTCTCTGCCTTCATGCCCGATATGCTTTGTGCCTGGAATTTAATCTCCTGGCATCCAGAATCAATTCCCACTGATCTGCAATTTTTTAAATCATTCCATGCTTTCATTTTGTGAGTTTATCTCATTAATCTGAAGAAACATTTGTTGACCGTGCTTATGTGTCTATGCAAAACAGCAGGAGAGAACACTGAATGGAATGACCAAGCTCAAAAGACAATTTCTCTCCATCCACTGAAATCACATTCTTATTTTGGGTCTCTCCTCCTTTTAGGATGATCATCAGCTGTCTATAGAAGAGTTGGAGATGAAATATAGGACCAACATCAACAAGGTGAAACCCTTTGACAAAAAGAATATTAGCAGCAAGCTAAGAGGAATGCATGTTCTCCTAGTTCATCCTAAGCCCTTCTGCAGCCTTGAAAGTTGCTGTGGTTAGCCGGCAGCAGGTGCAGACGGCTGAGGAGAGCGAGGACTCAGATGAGGGGCCAGGACCATTGCGAGTAGACTGCTGCCTTCAGAGATTGCGGGGGCTGGCAGCAGCGATGAGGAGGTTCCCGAGGAACCTGTGCCAAGTGTGCATGCATGCAGGGCCGCTTGCAGGAAAGAGCAGCTACAACACTACGGGTGACTTGGCAGTAAGGCTGCAAGGTAATGGCCCCTCCTTCAAGAAGATAAAAACCAGTTGTGAAGCGAACATTCTTTGCAGGAAGCAAAGATGTTTTGAAACTCAGCCTCGTGGACATTACAGCATCTTAATTTGGTATTTGAAGACTCTTGTGTTGTGAAATATTTCTTGTCTATGATTCTTGGCAGTCTTGTACATTTTTGGCAAGGTTTGTGTTTATCAAAGTTTGCAGCAGCCTTTTAACTGGGGATTCGTAAGACTCATTAAAAGGTTGCTGTTCCCCTTAATTATTGTTTGTCTTATTGGAAAAGGGTTTGGGTCAGAACAAAAGTATGATTGTCATCTAGTGTTTGAAAGGAAGTGATACATGGGGAATAAGGCTGCCCTAAATTGATAGCCACATTCATTGTATCCAGGATAGACGAATCTCTAGGAATCAGAGGCATTGCTGGTTTGTTACTACTGCTGCATATTTATATCTGGCCTCCTTGTCTATCTGCTTCCAGGGTCTGACCAGCACAGTGGCCGGAGAGATTCTCCTTCGTGATGGCCCCAATGAATTGAAACCCCCCAAAGGCACTCCGGAGTATGTGAAGTTTGCGCGTCAGCTGGCTGGGGGGCTGCAGTGCCTGATGTGGGTGGCAGCTGCCATCTGTCTCATTGCCTTTGGCATCCAGTGCAGCCAAGGTGATCTGACCAGCGCAGATGATGTAAGTTCCCCACAACAGAAGCAGACCGTCATTTGGGGGTCACCAGGACAGAGAGATGCAATAGGAGATAGAGTGATGATGAAAAGTGGGTAGCAGGGGGTGGTATTCTACTGGTTCGACCGAACTGGTAGCTCCGAGAATCATCTGTGAGTGAACCAGTTCACTCCAACAATCAGCTGCTGGGCCCACTCACCTGCCCCAGCTATATACTGATCTTTATTTCCTGGTTTTGAAGCTCAGCTGCTTCACATGACACAGCAGATTGCTGCGTGTCGACTGTTTATCCCACAGGGAGAATGCAGGATTGCAGGAGAAGGCCAGTAGGAAACCCTCCGCGTGTGTGCAAAGCACGCCCACCAAGCCACACCCACAGAACTGGTGGTAAAAATAATTTGAATCCCACCATTGGTGGGTGGGGCTAAGCCTCAGGTGGGCGGGGTCCAGAATTAACTCTTTCTTCTCTAGGTTTGAATGCCATGATTTAATTATATACCTTGAATGGTGCTGGATCCCTAGCGGTAGATGAATTGAGCATGGCAAAGTTGGGTTGCTGCACAGTTGCCAAATCTGGGATGGAAAAATTGAGATGATATGTAGATCAGGGGTCCCCAACCTCCAGGCTACGGCTCTTTGTTGGGCTACGGCTCGTTTGGAACCAGGCTGCGTGAGCGGCAGGTGAGTGCACACGCATGTGTGCAACTCCACTTGTGCGAGTGGCAGGCACTCATACATGAAGCTCCACTTGTGCAAGTAGTAGGCACTTGCACAAAACCGTTCCCTCTCCTCTCCCCATCAAGTGGGACAGGTTGGGGACCACTGACATAGAATAATAGATGATTACAAAACTCTATTTGCTGCCATCTAATGGCCAGAATATCTCAGACATGGGAATGCGACAGCTGGAAAAATATGACATCCTTCACTTAATCCTCCAGGGAAAGAATTGAACGGAAATGAGGTCTAGACAGAAGAAGAACATCAGGGCTTCAAAATCAAAGGGGGTTTGGACAAAACTCAACAGCACTTTTTTCTGGGGCTGTTGATAAAAATAGGATCACCAATGTGATCACCAATGTCCAATGACGGATACGGCAGAAGAAGAAAGAAGAAAGAAGAAAGAAGAAAGAAGAAAGAAGAAGAAGAAGAAGAAGAAGAAGAAGAAGAAGAAGAAGAAGAA